AGGTATAGATTACTCTCTGTGCAGCAGGTATAGATTACTCTCTGTGCAGCAGGTATAGATTACTCTCTGTGCAGCAGGCATAGATTACTCTCTGTGCAGCAGGTATAGATTACTCTCTGTGCAGCAGGCATAGATTACTCTGTTCAACAGGCATAGATTACTCTGTACAGCAGGCATAGATTACTCTGTACAACAGGTATAGATTACTGTGTACAGCAGGCATAGATTACTCTGTACAGTAGGCATAGATTATTCTGTTCAACAAGCATAGATTACTCTGTTCAGCAGGCATAGATTACTCTTTTCTTCAGCAGGCATAGATTACCCTGTACAGCAGGCATAGATTACTCTGTTCAGCAGGCATAGATTACTCTGTACAGCAGGCATAGATTACTCTGTGCTGCAGGTATAGATTACTCTGTGCAGCAGACATAGATTACTGTGTACAGCAGGCATTGATTACTGTGTACAGCAGGCATATATTACTGTGTACAGCAGACATATATTATTTTGTTCAACAGGCAGATTATTCTGTTCAACAGGCATAGATTATTCTGTTCATCAGGCATAGTTTACTCAATGTACAGTAGGCATAGATTCCTCTGTACAGCAGGCATAGATTACTCTGTACAGCAGGCATAGATTACCCTGTACAGCAGGCATAGATTACCCTGTACAGCAGGCATAGATTACCCTGTACAGCAGGCATAGATTACCCTGTACAGCAGGCATAGATTAGTCTCCCAAGTCAAGGCATCGTGACGTGATGACTTGTCTGAAGAACTTTTATCTTAAGAGTTGGAAACTATTCTTGTATACCATATAACTCTCTAATTCATCTCGTTCGACATTAATGTTGAGTTTGGGAGGTGGATGATTGTTGTTGGTGTTAAAGATTCGTTACCTGGAACCAAGTTCCAAGTAGCACGGGCTATGGTGATCCCGTATTCACATGAGGTGGGTGAGGGTGTGTTGACCCTCGGTGGGCTGGTCACTACTTCACATGCGCCTCGATATCCTGGGTTATAGCAAGTGTAGAACCCTCAAGTGGGGAAGGGTATTGTTACTTATCCTCATTACTTAACGTGAAGAAGATTGTGTCTATCATCTTTATTGTCTAACGTGAAGAAGTTTGTGTCTATCATCTTTATTATCTAACTTGAAGAAGTTTTTGTCTATCATCTTTATTATCTAACGTGAAGAGGTTTGTGTCTATCATCTTTATTATCTAACGTGAAGAGGTTTGTGTCTATCATCTTTATTATCTAACGTGAAGAGGTTTTTGTTTTGTCATTTTCATTATCTAACTTGAAGAAGTTTTTCCCTTATCATCTTCATAATTTAATGTAAAGAAGTTTTTGTCTAACATTTTCATTATCTAACGTGATGAAGTTTTTGTTTTATCATCTTCATAATCTATCGTAAAAAAGATTTTGTCTATAGTTGTCATAATCTAACAAGAAGTTCGTGTGTCATTCTCCTCATGTAATGTGATGCAGTTTTCCTCTTATCATCGTAACTATTATTCCTTAACGCACCTTTAATTTCAGCTGACAGGTTGTGTGATTTATTTTATATTTCTAACTCTTTTTCTTCTACTTGGAAGCATTTTGATTTTTCTCTTCAGATAGGTATTAAGGTGTGTGTGTCACAGTGGGTATTAAAGGGGGTCAGTTTTGTGACCATTCTCACATAAGTAAGGTTTGACGATTGATTTCACTTCTATTGACCTTTTATACAAAAATTAAAAACAAATTAGCCTACATGTCCCTCAAAATTTAAAAAGAAATCCCGGCAATTCTCATCAGAGTCCAAAATCAAAGTTGGCTGCAAGCGCCATCTTGAATTTCTGTGTTTAAATGATGTAACGTCAAGACAATGTCAGGTTGGGTATCCTCGTTGTCAACTTACCCGACAAAGTGTTTTTGAACACCGAGTCTAGCTGCTCTAGTTCAAAAATGGATTTTCTCAAGATGGCGTCGGCGGCCATCTTTGATTTCGGACTGCCGAAAAGTGCGGGAATTTTTTGGAGGGACATTTGCCTTTTTTTTTTTTTTAAAGTTTAATAGAAATTAAATCGATCGTCAAACTTTACTTACGTGAAAATGTTCACAGATTTATGTGTTTCGGCCCCCTGGTCTGTACATTGCCTGGCACACCGACACCTACTATACGATATTTTGAAAGACAGATGAAGTAAGTGTATCCAGCCCATTCTCTTGATTTGCCACTCTGTAAAAAGTCCAACCTCCTAACCACACCAGAAATGTACTCACCCAAGCAACTCACCCAACCTATCGAGTCCGAGGCATAGAAGAAAATGTGGATATTTGGCGCCATTACAGTTTATAGTAGGTTTCATTGGAGACGTTGCTTACCATAGTGTAAACGCGACCTATTATTTGAGAGGACGGGTTGCCTTAAGGACGGAGGGAGGCTTGGGAGCCACCATAAGGGAAGGAGGAGACGGAAGAGGGGAAGTGGTGGGGCACTAACTGAAGGAGGGGTATGTTGCAGACCTGGCCGACCCCTTGCTGGACCTGCCCCCTTGTCGCCTCTGACGTCACGCCCCCAGTAAGTCCCCCACTAATTGCACCTGTCTCCACTAACTACTAACTCGCCCTGTTGACTGTGTGTCCACTCGCCCTGCTGACTGTGTCCACTCGCCCTGCTGACTGTGTCCACTCGCCCTGCTGACTGTGTGTCCACTCGCCCTGCTGACTGTGTGTCCACTCGCCCTGCTGACTGTGTGTCCACTCGCCCTGCTGACTGTGTGTCCACTCGCCCTGCTGACTGTGTGTCCACTCGCCCTGCTGACTGTGTGTCCACTCGCCCTGCTGACTGTGTCCACTCGCCCTGCTGACTGTGTCCACTCGCCCTGCTGACTGTGTCCACTCGCCCTGCTGACTGTGTCCACTCGCCCTGCTGACTGTGTGTCCACTCGCCCTGCTGACTGTGTGTCCACTCGCCCTGCTGACTGTGTGTCCACTCGCCCTGCTGACTGTGTCCACTCGCCCTGCTGACTGTGTGTCCACTCGCCCTGCTGACCGTGTCCACTCGTCCTGCTGACCGTGTCCACACACCTTCCTGACCACATCCTAAACATGACATGTATGTCGACATGACTTTGAATTGTATTTTCTCGCTATTTCTGAGGTTTTTGTCTAAACTGTGTGCATGTTCAGTGGTGTGTCCCGCATGTCCTGTTGTCTGTGGCATGGTGGGAACAGAGAGAGAGAGAGAGAGAGAGAGAGAGAGAGAGAGAGAGAGAGAGAGATAAAGTGATGAGATTCGTAGAATACACATTTCTTTGTTACACATACAAATCACAATTGCGTGATGCATCAAATGAACAAATCCACAAGGGCCGTGATGAGGATTCGAACCTGCGTTCGAGAGCATCCCAAACGCTGCCTTAATCGACTGAGCTACGACATGGGTTCAATGTGTTTCAACTTTTGATCTTTTTGACCATGTCGTAGCTCAGTCGATTAAGGCAGCGTCTGGGATGCTCTCGGACGCAGGTTCGAATCCTCGTCACGGCCCTTGTGGATTTGTTCACATTTGTTTGTGTTCTGTTTACAATACCTTTCTTGCAGTTATCGTCGGTTACTGGACAGTTATGAACGGGACAGTGTAAACAGGTCCTGTCATTCTCTAGTTATTGTGTTGTTTATATATATATATATATATATATATATATATATATATATATATATATATATATATATATATATATATATATAATGTTATCCCGTGATAATATGTGATAAAAAAACTATTATGGGAAATATAAAGTCCCCTAGTGTATCACCTAGTTGTGTTTGAAATTAGGTGTACAAATGAGCTATTATATCTACACTTGAAACTTGTATGGAAATAATGTGTGTGTGTGTGTGTGTGTGTGTGTGTGTGTGTGTGTGTGTGTGTGTGTGTGTGTGTGTGTGTGTGTGTGTGTGTGTGTGTGTGTGTGTGTGTGTGTGTGTGTGTGTGTGTGTGTGTGTGTGTGTGTGCATGTATGGGTCTATATCTGTTCAATTTGAATTTTTTTGTAGATATTGATTTTGTGTTGGAATTGGAATGTTTCGGTATGTTTAGATCGTAGCATATGTTTGTATATACTGTACTATATATATATATATCAATACAGCATCACAAAGAATGGTTCAATGTGTAGCAAATTAGCCCCCCCCCCCCCCTAGCTTTGTAAACCCACTGTACTCTCCCTTTATATAACCTTCTGCTTGCGTATATATGTTGACCAGACCACACACTAGAAGGTGAAGGGACGACGACGTTTCGGTCCGTCCTGGACCATTCTCAAATCGAGAATGGTCCAGGACGGACCGAAACGTCGTCGTCCCTTCACCTTCTAGTGTGTGTGGTCTGGTCAACATAATTTAGCCACGTTATTGTGACTCATCGCCTGCATATGTATATATATATATGTGTGTGTTGTGTCTAGTTTGTGTATGTTTACTGTCTGACGATGTGTGAAATATCGTTCATTGTTTTTTGAAGGGTATTAGGCCTTTATGGTGACGCCGTGAGTACATTGAGTTATATCAAGTGTATGGTGGCCACTAGATGTTTGCCCCGTGAGTAAGGAGAATGAGCTCCACTCCAGTGAGTATAAGAAGTGGGTCCTGGTGAGGGTGAGTGTGGGAGCAGGTCTTCATGGAGGGGTGAGTATGTGAGCAGCAGGTCTTCCTGCGGGAGAGTATTAATGGAGCAGGTCTTCCTGCGGGAGAGTATTAATGGAGCAGGTCTTCCTGCGGGAGAGTATTAATGGAGCAGGTCTTCCTGCGGGAGAGTATTAATGGAGCAGGTCTTCCTGCGGGAGAGTATTAATGGAGCAGGTCTTCCTGCGGGAGAGTATTAATGGAGCAGGTCTTCCTGCGGGAGAGTATTAATGGATCAGGTCCTTATTGATGCCATGCTTGGGAGACGAGGATGGCTGTACTAAGAACTTAGATGATGCTCAACTTTTATCTCCTTAGGATCTTCACCTGGTCGTTCCCGTGGGTCTCACGCCTCGGACCCGGTCCTCAAAGATGGCGAAGCAGCCCCGTGGGGAATGTCAGGTCAACACGCCTCCACTAGCCACCACTACAATGCCCCACACTCTCCACATGGCCTCGAGTCGCCTTTAATAGCAGCAGATACCAGTAGTGCGGTAGCGTTGGTGGGCGTCGCCTCGGGTAGCAGCGGCAAGCGCACCTCCCGGGAGAACGTGGTGAGGTGCGTTCCGCCCCTCAGGCCCAGTAGGGTGCACCAGGGGGTCTGTAGACCCACTGGGGTCAGTGTGCCGCCCAATGGAATCAGTGTGGCACCCGCTCGGGCCAGAACCGGCCTTCCCAGCCACGCACTCGACAATCCACACCTTCTGGAGACCTCGGTCTGACACCTTCCCCTGCCTGTCTGCCTGCTTCATCCCTGTCTGCCTGCTCAACTGCTGCCACACTAGACCAGTAGCCAGAAGCGGGTGTCCAGTAGAGGCTGGTGTAGTGAATGGTAGCCGTGGTTAGTGTCGACACCTGCATGTAGTTGGTGGTGGGCACGGCAGCATCGTCTAGGCCTGGCCCTCCTCCCCCCATGCCCCCACCTTCCACGCCAACGCCCCTGGGGAGCTCCGAGGACCTGAGGTCGCCCTTCCTGCTGGTAGGGCTGCCCTCCCCTGCCCGTGGCCTCGCTGCATGAAAAATCTCCCGCTTCCAGCACCCCCCCAATCCTTATCCCCCCCCCGCCCCCTCTCTCTCTAACCCACCATCCCCCCCTCGTCAAGAAGCACCCCCTCTCTAACCCACCATTCCCCACCTCAACACCTCCCTCCTTAACACCAGTAACGAGCATGCTGTATATAAACAACGAATCTCATTCCTCTGTTTGAGTCAAGTTGCATTTTGCATTAATACATACCCAAACACCTGTGTACCACTAATGTGTATTAACACCTGTGTACAAAATATCACCTGTGTATCACTAACACCTGTGAATGTGTGTGTGTGTCAACACTTAGACCAGTGCGTGTTTACGTCTTGACTAATCTTCTTGTCTTGTTGATTTTTGGAGCTTTTCCTATATGGAGGTTTGGCAGCTGTGATGCTGCCTATACTTAAGTAGGTCCAGAGGTCCTCAAGTAGGCCCAGAGGTCCTCAAGTAGGTCCAGAGGTCCTCAAGTAGGTCCAGAGGTCCTCAAGGAGGTCCAGAGGTCCAAGGGCTCCCTAGCCGGACCCCTGAGTATGTAAGCAGCTACTAGAATATCTCTTATGTGTGTGTGGGGTGGGAGGCGGGAAATGCCCCAATACTAGCTACACACACACACACACTGGGACGCCTTTTGTATGGCGTGAGTGGGTTTGTGTGCACGTAAAGAGTGTGTGTGTGTGCATTTATTTGTGCGTGCAAGCGCATTATTTCCACCCCCTCCACGGTTACGTCCCAGCCAGGAATGAGGAACGTTGGTGTTATGCAAATAAAGTGTACACAGAGAAGACCTTATTGATCCTCACTGAACAATAACGTGGCTGAAGAATGTTGACCAGACCACACACTAGAAGGTGAAGGGACGACGACGTTTCGGTCCGTCCTGGACCATTCTCAAGTCGATCGACTTGAGAATGGTCCAGGACGGACCGAAACGTCGATCGTCGTCCCTTCACCTTCTAGTGTCTGTGGTCTGGTCAACTCACTGAACACTTTGATATTTTCTTCTCCTACCACCCCCTATTCTTTTTGTATGTGCATATATATATATATATATATATATATATATATATATATATATATATATATATATATATATATATATATATATATATATATACCGAATAGCCAATTGGAGTTCTTGCAGATAACCCAATGAATTTATAACATATATTTTATTGTTTTTACTTCATCTACAACACTGTATTTGTTGTAGGGTTAGATTGTATTTCCTACTGGACACAACAGTATATTTTTTAATAGGATATTACAGAATAATACATTGTTGCAGGTGTGGAGACTGTCTTGACATGTGTATAGGTGCAAGACTGAACAGGTGTGGAGGTGGGATTGTTTGTCGGTGGTGAGGAGGCCAGTGCACGAACAGGTGTGGAAGACAGCGGGTATGGAGCGTAAATGGGCACTTAGGGGCGATAGGGGAGGTACTAATCATTTTAACTTTGTCCCTGTCCATCCATCCATAATTGGGGCCACGTGGTTGTAGAGCAGTAAGTGCGCCGTGTTTCAGGGGGGAAAGGCTAGTAAGGTAAGGCTTTAGATGAGCTTTATAGGAAGATAGAACACCAAACCTGCTAACGGGAATCATCACAAGTCATCGTCTCCTGTGCCTACTTGTGTGTGTGTGTGTGTGTGTGTGTGTGTGTGTGTGTGTGTGTGTGTGTGTGTGTGTGTGTGTGTGTGTGTGTGTGTGTGTGTGTGTGTGTGTGTACACAGTGTATGGAGCAGGAGTGGGAAGAAGGCGTAGAGATGGGCGGGGAAACGGAGTAGGTGTAGAGGTATGGGAGGAAGAGAGCGAGTAGGTGTTGAGGAGTGAGGCAGGTGAGTATGTGTTTACCTCAGGGCCACCATCTCTTGTGGCCTCGGCCGCGACAAGAACGACTTCGACTTCGATAGCGACTTCGTCTAAGGCTCCCACATTATCCCTTGCGGATTTTTTGGTTTTGTTTTCCAGCTAAATTTGAACTGTTGTGTGTGTGAGAAATAGGGAAGCAGCTGTGGATTTGAAGGAAGTGGATTAGGCGAGGTGGGGGTGGGGTAGTTTGTGTTATAAATGGCAGGTAAGTTCTTGAGGTGTTGCAGGCGAGGTGTTGTAGTGACAGAAAGGTTCATCACAATAGTGATGGTGACAATAGCACTTGATAACTGTGCCTCCCTCCCGCAGGTTCCATGGTGTGCCGGATTCGTGAGGCTCTGGGTCAGTACGTCACACTACGCGTGACGTCGTGCAACCTCGGCTGCAGCACCAGGGACCTTTGACCTGCCCCCACCACCACCACCACCACCACACACCCTCCGCCATGTGCCTCGCCGTCTGCCCCTCCACCTGGGGTGCCCTCGTCATGCCTCGTGCGTCTGTGCTGCTCTTACAAGGACCCAACATGTCCTTCTTTTTGCCTGCATCTTCTGCCATGTCCTTGTGATCAATAAGGAGACGACACATCTTCCGTCTGAGCCTTCTGTCCTGTTGTCATTATCAAGGTGACAACTTGTTCTCCGTCTTTGTCCCCTTGCTACAGGGACCACCAAAAACGTCCTTCTCTCTGCCTGCGCCTTTTGTCGTGCCATCGCGACCAGCACAACAACATCTTGTCCTTCGACTGTGCACCTTCTGGTGTGGTTGAGGGAGGGATGGTGCCCTTCCTGCCTACCCGGCCAGTCATTCAAATGTGTTGGCTCTCAAAATGTGCTGTTACCAACCTTCAATTTCACACTCAGGTTCTAATATGCCTCTTTTTACCCCCCCCCCCCCTCCCCCCATTCGCCCACCAAAAACTTGTCTGACCTGCACCACATCCAGCAAGCTATTGTCGGGACTCAAGGTTCCAGCCCCGCCGAAAGGTAGAATTTCTTCAGCAAAACTTGTGTCCCTGCTGAGGCATAAGGCCTCAGCGATGGTTGCTGCCAACCCCTCCAGTGTAATGTACCACCCTCCCCCAATTCCTCTCCATCTCTGCCAGCCACTGCCTCCCCCTCTCCCTTAACCCTTCCCTCCCCCACAAATGACCCATACGAGCCCCACCATTTCCCAAGCCTCCCAACTCTGGCTGGCTGTGTCAGGATTGACAGCAATCAGATCCTGTGATGCCCGTCTTTCCTCTTCGCCATGCAGACCACTGAGGTTGATGCTGCCACATCCCCACCGGACCTTGTGGTTGTTGTCATAGATTCAGTCACTCTGAACAAGTTCCAAGTAGCACGGGCTATGGTGAGCCCGTAGTGGAATTACCTGGCACAGGAGCGGTACACCTTGTGGATGACCTGCTGCTTATATACAAGGCTTGTCATAGTTACCTTGTGCATTATAGAACACGGAACCCAACCACTTAGTGACATGAATGAGTGATTATCCTTACTTCCAGAACCTGTTCAGCAGTAAAGGGGGGAGACTTTACGATAATGATGATGATGTGCTTGTGTCAGATGTGGGCCTGAGGTTGGGCAGACCTATTGACCCACGTGAACCACGTGAACACATACTCTTGTCCAGTGTGGGGTCTGCCCGTGTTCTGTACACAAACAATAACCTGCAGCAACCTTTCACATACTTTGGAAGAAAATATAAATAGAAAGAATACTCATCTTTTATAAGTTAAGATCATTCACGTTTAGCAAGTATACGTATTATCATAGAACAGATTCTCATTTTCTGCTCATTGGGGTGGAAGATAGATGTAATTGGCCAGATGTTTGCTCAGCTCCAGTATATCAAATAGAAACAAACTGAAAATATAATGCAGAAAATTCCCTTACAAATCCTGTATATGTTTTTATATACATCTGTAAATAGGTGCTATATGTAACAAGTGTGTCCTTCGTGCCCTCAGAGAAGTGTACAAGAGATCCAGAGCGACAGCTGTGACAAGAAAGAGATCCAGGTGTCTGATTTACGAAGCAGTTACGCAAGCACTTAACGAACGTGTACATCTTTCCTTAATCTTTGACGTCTTTGGTTACATTTATTAAACAGTTTACAAGCATGAAAACTTGCCAATTAACTGTTGTTATTGTTATAAACAGCCTCTTGGTGCTTCAGAGCTCATTAACTGTTTAATAATTGTAAACAAAGCCGCCAAAGATTGAGAAAAGATGTACAGGTTCGTAAGTGCTTGCGTAACTGCTTCGTGAATCTGGCCCCAGAGCAACAGCTGTGACAAGATAGAGATCCAGAGAGACAGCTGTGACAAGGTAGAGATCCAGAGAGACAGCTGTGACAAGGTAGAGATCCAGAGAGACAGCTGTGACAAGGTAGAGATCCAGAGAGACAGCTGTGACAAGAGATCCAGAGAGACAGCTGTGACCATTCATGTGTGTGTATTTTGTATTATCCCTGTGGCCCACATACTGTATCAAACTGTGTCTATAATTGCTACACTGCGTCCCACATTTATGCCGGAGTGTCGAAGGTCATCAGGTTAAGTCCAAGATTTTGCTGTGAGAGCGGTCAGGCTTCAGAGTACTATATTACTTTCTCAGTTACTCTTAAGATTCCCCTTCCAAGAAAGGAATATCAGGGGCTGAAACTAGTCATCTCTCGTGGGTTTCATCTATACAATTGCATCAAAAGTTTCAGTAAGCTTCTGACATTCCTCTCATTTTACTGGTTTTTTTTTTAGGCTCAGAAGTTATCACGAATTTGTATGGTTCAAAACAAATTGTTGAACATTTTTGTAACCATTTCAACTACCTTTCTTGCCTAGTAACATCACTTGCAATTGTCTTTTTGTTTTTGTTTTTTAAAGTGAGAGATAGCTCAATTATTTGTTTTCACTTGGCAAACAAACACGAAGGGCAGTGTGTGTGTGTGTGTGTTATATACACAAAGGAGAACTGTTCTGTTGACCAATCCACACACTAGGAAATGAAGGGACGACCACGTTTCGGTCCTGGATCATTCTCAAGTCGATTGTGACATTCTCAAGAATCGACTTGAGAATGGTTCCAGGACGGACCGAAAAGTCGTCGTCCCTTCATTTTGCTACTGTGTGGATTGGTCAACATACTTCAACCACGTTATTGTGACTCATCGCCTGCAGAAATGTTCTGTTTTCTCATCTACCACCACTGTACGAGCTGTTTAAGGTACTGCCCTCAAGCTAAATAACTTAATTATACTACCAAGAACTCTGTGCCAAGTACCACTTAGTATGCTACTACTGTAGTCGCCATAGCAAGAAGCCTATATTGAGTACACTACCCAGACCCACTACATGCATCATTTAGTACACCATCACCAGCCATAAGAAGACCCATTTAGGGTTCATAAGAACCATCAGACCCCATTAAGTCTGTTGTCTATCCAGCAAGCCTCCAGTAGCTAGGTGGGAGAAACGTTCAGTGAACCATCTTAAAACCTTTACAGAGTAGCCTAACGCGAAATTTAAAGACGTAAAAATTTCAATATATATACATATCTAGCATCATTTCTAATTAATGACAGACGTAAGTGTTCTGTATTCCATTTACTAGTTAAGATTATTTCAGGTTCTATTGAAAGGAAGAGTTGACATTGGGTTCTGTTTGATTAAAATAAGATGTGGTGATTGTGTGTGTGTGTGTGATCCTGTGATCAGAGAGATGGTTGTGTGTGATTCTGTGATCAGAAAGATGATTGTGTGTGATCCTCTGATCAGAGAGATGGTTGTGTGTGATCCTGTGATCAAAGAGATGGTTGTGTGTGATCAGAGATGGTTGTGTGTGATCCTGTGATCAGATAGGTGGTTGTGTGTGATCCTGGGATCAGAGAGATGGTTGTGTGTGATCCTGTGATCAAAGAGATGGTTGTGTGTGATCCTGTGATCAGAGAGGTGGTTGTGTGTGATCCTGTGATCAGAGAGATGGTTGTGTGTGATCCTGTGATCAGAGAGGCGGTTGTGTGTGATCCTGTGATCAGAGAGGTGATTGTGTGTGATCCTGTGATCAGAGAGATGGTTGTGTATGTTCCTGTGATAACAGTGATGGTTGTGTTTGCTCCTGTGATCAGAGAAGTGGTTGTGTGTGATCAAAGAGATGGTTGTGTGTGATCCTGTGATCAGAGAGGTGGTTGTGTGTGATCCTGTGATCAGAGAGGTGGTTGTGTGTGATCCTGTGATCAGAGAGGTGGTTGTGTGTGATCCTGTGATCAGAGAGATGGTTGTGTGTGATCCTGTGATCAGAGGGATGGTTGTGTGTGATCCTGTGATCAGAGAGGTGGTTGTGTGTGATCCTGTGATCAGAGAGATGGTTGTGTGTGATCCTGTGATCAGAGATGGTTGTGTGTGTTCAGAGAGATGATTGTGTTTGATCCTGTGATCAGAGAGATGATTGTGTTTGATCCTGTGATCAGAGAGATGATTGTGTGTGATCCTGTGATCAGAGAGATGATTGTGTTTGATCCTGTGAGCAGAGAGATGATTGTGTTTGATCCTGTGATCAGAGAGATGATTGTGTTTGATCCTGTGATCAGAGAGATGATTGTGTGTGATCCTGTGATCAGAGAGATGATTGTGTGGGAGAGACTAGACGGTAGAACGACGGTCTCGCTTTATGCAGGTCGGCGTTCAATCCCCGACCGTCCACCAGTGGTTGGGCAATTCCCTCCCTCCCCCCCTCCCTCCCCCCCCCCCCCCCTCTGTCCCCTCCCAACTCCTTATCTTGACCCCTTCCAAGTGCTATATAGTCGTAATGGCTTGGTGCTTTCCCCTGAAAATTCCCTTCCTTTGTAAAATGTTAAGCACTAGGCTTCGTCAGACGCAGTGAAGAGTCACTGGTTTATGTGTCATGAGTCACGAAGCAGTTACGGAAACACTTACGAACCTGTACGTCTTTTCTCAGTCTTTGGCGGCATTGTTTACAATTATTAAACAGTTAATGAGCTCGGAAGCACCAGGAGGCTGTTTATAACAATAACAACAGTTGAATGGCAAGTTTTCATGCTTGTAAACTGTTTAATAAATGTAACCAAAGCCGTCAAAGATTGAGGAAAGATGTACAGGTTCGTAAGGACTTGCGTAACTACTTCGTGAATCTGGCCCTTGAGGTCAGGAGGTACCAGAGTGAGAATTGTATCTACGATGATATTGCAGAGGAATGGCAGAGCCAGAGTGTCAAATTGATGGGTAGGAATTGAGTAGGGTAACTTAGCCTCTAACACAGTTACTTGGCAGCTCAAATAGAAGCCTCAGCTGTGGTCTGTGATTTAATTATCGTTATATGACAAAAGAGTGCTGGGAAGACGGGACACCACGAGCCTAGCTAGCTCTCATCTTGTAACTACACTTAGGTAATTACACACACACACACACACACAAAGCACCTACGTAATGGGTGTACTAATATGACTTTCTTTTGTTATTGTCACACTTTCTCATAGTCTCCGTAGGCCTGGGTGTCACTTGTCACTTATAGGGGAGTCTTTATGGTGTGATAACCACACGAAACCCAGAATTATATATTTGGAAAGATATTTTTGATGTCACGAAAATCCAAATCTGGGGAAAGTCCCTACTATCGAGAGGGCGTACAGCCTAGTGCAGACTAGACCACCAACTTTCTGACTCTCCTGCAGTCTTCTGTTGTTAATATTGTATGTCTATTTAAATAAAATATAAAATGAGGCTACGGGGGGTGAAGTGAGCAGCGGTGTTGTGGTAATCACATAGGTCTCTAGAACGCAGAGATAAGTAGACGATAACACTTCACTCTGGAAGGGAAAGTTCTGCCACGAAAAGATATAAAAATGGATGTCATTGTAATTCCAAAACAAAACAAACTTGCGAGTCTTCATGCATACATGGACTAGTGTGTGTGTGTGTGCATGATTACATACATGTATGTAGGATACGTGCGTGTGTACATGCCCCCACAGTTTGACCCAAACACACAGCCTTATATGTGTAGCGTGCTGGGTTAGTAATCCATTAGCCAGATGTTGTCGAGGAGGTTAATGGGATTCTCTTCAATTCATTTCACTTGTAAATATAGGATAATTATCGGTGTCTCAACATATGTAAGGTGACATATCTGTTGTCTCTCTATTTTTTTATTATTATTATTATTGCCTAGGAGGCAAACTGTAGGCCTATCTGCTGCAAGGTTATGTGGGATGACCTGTAACTGTTTTCTGTTTACAAGGGATGACAAATAACTATTGTCTGTTTACTTGTGATAATCCTTTTAACCATTTTGTTATGAGGAATGACCCCCAAAAGTTACGTTTTATGGGATGACTTGTAACTGCTTTCTTGTTATGCTCGCTAATTAGGTGGAAAATATTTAAAATTGTTGGAATTGTCTATTAAGCATTGCATTAAATTATAATTACATTAAAATTGTAATTTCAACTACAATTTTTTTAATTTATAATTTATTTTGTATTGAAACACAAAATTACATTGAAAAGTGTCATTAAATTTGATATAATATGTCTTTAACATGTAGATGTATTCATTGTTGTTAATGCAATACCTGTTCTTGGTGTTCACTTCTATGTATACTGTGTTACACATCTCCTCAACTACCACTTTATGTATTCTTCAGCTCAGTCTAATATATTCTCTTCACTTGGGCATCTGCTCCATTATCTTAACGAGGGGGTTTATTCGCAGGCAATTTAATAGGAAACAATTCTTAGCAGAATCTTAGCAGACTCACAAAACAGTGACAGACATTAAACATGTTTATGTTAAAGTAACTAGACCAGGAATGTGTTTGTAGCAAATACTTATATATTGGTAGAGAGACGAGACGCTATACTGCCTTTAATGTTATCAAGATGTTTTTTGGGCCAGATTCACGAAGCATTTACGCAAGCACTTACGAACCTGTACATCTTTACAAGCGTGAAAACTTCCCAAATCAACTGTTCTTATTGTTATAAACAGCCTAGTGTTTCGGAGCTCATTAACTGTTTAATAATTGTAAACAAAGCCGCCAAAGATGGAGAAAGAAAAGATGTGCAGGTTCGTAAGTGCTTGCGTAAATGCTTCGTGAATCTGGCCCCTGAAGGAATTCA